TGCTCTCTTGAGACCTCAGTAAACTCACATGTCACACTAGAATTTTAGTGTCTCAGACTGTGCTCAGGTTTGCCAAATGGTAAACTCTGAAATCCTAAATCAGAGATTTCAATGAAAAAAAAAAAAAAAAAAAAAATTTATTGTAATATCCAGAACCAATACTTATCTTGAAGTAGTAAAGTAGTATGTATCTGCTACTACATTCATTGGATTGATGAAATAATTGTATTTCAACAATGGACTCATTTGTTCTCATTGTGGAAATTGTAGGAACAACGTGTGACATAGTTAAATAAATGAAACATAAATGAGAACTACTTTGTCTTCTGAGCTATGAATGAATAAATCAAATTACTAAAACTAAACCTTAAATAGAAATATTAAAAATATATACATGACAAAACAAAACATACAATTACTAAAACTAAAATAGAAAAGTACTACAATAGTATAATAATAACACTAAAACAACACTGGTTCAGACTATATTAGCATAGTATACTTATACATTTTGATCATTAAAATTAATAATTTGAAATTAAAAATAAGAATTGTTATTAAAAATTGTTATTAAAAAATTTAATTACTTAATTAAATAAATGTGGTTGTTAAAAGCCCAGAAAGTGTTCAAATTTTAGATTTTACAAAAAATAAATAAATAAATAAATAAAATTATAAAATAAAATAAAATCTTATGCATTCTAAAATTAGAAGTTTAAAAGTTTAAAAAAGAAAAGTATAAAAGAGAATGATATTATGGAGTCATATATCTGATTCACAAACTAATCAGATCTTCCCCTTAAATCTACACCCACTAATTCTACTGAGTATCACTCCAGAGAACAAAACTAATTAAAGCAAACATCCCCCACTCTGCCCTTCATAAGCATCTTTGTCTTTCCCTTATTCAGGCCACCAATTTTCAGCCAGCTATCATATCTCATTATCTCAATCCCTGACAAGCCATTCCCTTGACTATAAGTTAAAGTTATAAAAAGGAATGACAGCAAATAATGTAACAGTTGTGAACAGATTTTGTTTCATTTGATCTTATATGTGTTATAGTAGTGAGCTATGCTACTATGGAGGTGCTAAAATGTCAAAATGTGTTATATCTTGAAAACAAAAAAGACAGATGCTGGGACATTTTTATTTATTTATTTATTTATTTAAATAAATTTGATTCTGTAAAGTTCATTTAAAATTAATGTATGAATGTTGGTTTATATTTGATTGTGATCCTTCTGATTGCTTATATGTGTGTGCTGTTAATTTATTTGAACAGTGAGATACTTGACAGCTATTCAAATGTTTTACAATCAGTCATAAGATGCCAAACATAACGTCAATTTAATAGGTTTCCAGAAATAAAAATTGAAATAATATTAAGAATAAAAATCACATATGAATGAAACGAGTAAAAATGAGAGACAAGGTGCACCAGTATCCTTTCGGAAAATATCACTGGATATGTTATATTCAAAATGTATAAGAACTTAAGGTATTGAGATATTGTTTGATTAAATAATTACCAAATTTATTTCAATTTCAAATTTAATATTTGAATGTAAGAATTGTTTTTGTTTTCATACTCATTATATGCACTTTCAGGTTCATGTCTGTTTATTTGGCCTTATGTCCATTTATACTTTTGCTTGCTGCAAATTGGAACTTTGTGACTACAAATTTGAGATTGCTCAAGCAGCCTCAATGTTTATTGGGTTTCATATAGGACTGGGTATTGGCACAATGCCACATTTTGATTTGATTCTGATTCACAAGCTCTTGATTTGTAACTCGTGCCATACAACATTAAGGGTACATTTTCTTAAAAAAAAAAAAGATTAAAATATTGATTGTTGTAGTTTATGAATTGATATTGGATTAATCAGTAAAGGATATTTTTACCAAGCAATGCATTACAAAAAAAAAGAGGAAGTTTTGTTAGATGTAACTTAAGCATTTGAAAAAAAAAAAAAAACAGTGTGCATTTAGAAATTTCTATACCTCACCTTCCACCTCTTATAGAGAATCAATACCCATAATACATACCACAAACCCTAATGTCCAGTGGTATGAGGTTCATATTGCTACTTGACAGGACAAATGGGGAATGGAGGGAGAAAGCAAGAGAAGTTGAGTGAGAGAAAGAGAGAGGAGAGTGATGTCTAACTATATCTACTCTCTGTAACAGGACTCCATGTCTGGTTCAGAACAGCCTGTGACATCAGCATATCATGAACATACTTCAGAGCCGGCAGCTCTTACTGTTGGATTAAACCAAAGTCTCTTTAAGGCCAGTCAGTCCAGCTGGTGGCCAGAGGGCTGCTATTTTGTAGTCATGCAAGTAAACTCTGTAAACTTTGATTACAATTTGTCCATTTTATTTCTGTATACTCTGAAGTACTATGTTCTGTATACTATCTGTGATTAAAATCTTTACATGTTAAACAGTCTTTAAATGGTCATTTTAATTCATAAATTGCTGCTATGAAAATCCAAAATCCCTGCTATGAATGTCCACACACAGACTGTGAGCATAAGTAAAAAAGTTCAAGAATTGACTGCAACAAATGTTCAATGAAAAGCAGCCAAAGCCTGCTCGAAAAATGGCTAAATGTCGCTAGATGATGTCATGTGCTAATTAGCATGTTCATGACGTCATCATTCCATAATTGCATACTGCCTAGAGTCAGCTCTTTACATCTGTGCTCACATACTGTATTTTAATACATCCAAATTCCCAATAAAGCTGTTCTCATTTTCATATGTTTCTCTTTTTGTGGAATAAGTATGAAATAGTGACTGAAATGCAACCTATTATGACTGTTACTTCCAAGTTGCATTTATGCACTGCTAAAATCATGATTTATAACCACAACATTGCCTGACTTGTTTGTATGCCATACATTTATTAAATGCACAGCACAGCCTTCATATTATATTCTCTTCTAAGGGAAGAAGCTAAAGGAAGTTGCTAGATTTGTTGTGTGTGCTTTTTGAAAAAGTCCCTAAAAGGGGTATGAAAGGTCACTCAATCTAGCAGCTGTTGCGAAGTTGGCAACACTGACAGCAACTACCAATAAGTAAGATGCTTTCCTTGTAATCAAGTGGGTCCTGTACTGTTATTTAGTAATGTTGCTAATTTTCAGTGATGATAAAGGGTCTGCTCAGGGTTGCAGACGTGAGCTCCTAATCATTTTTGTCCTAATCACTCTGAGGTGTGAGGGACTAGTGACCGTAAAGGAGATACCACAACTGCTGTTCACACGCTCTGCATGCCATGACATTACACACGTGTGCTCTTGGACTATTTATAGAGCCTTACTCTTATCCACTTGTTTATTTTCCTACAGATTGCACAGGACAAACTGTGTTGACATTTAATTTAATTAGAAATATGAGTGAATACAAGCCATGTCCATTTGGTACTATTAGAAATCTGCATTGTACTTTTTTTTGTACCATTTTCACCATTTAACTTCTCTGTATTTCAAGATCTTCCAGCCCTCTGCGTATTCCCTTGCCACCGAAAAGTCTCCGCGCATAATCATTGTCAAAGCTGATTTGTTTCACCCTGACAAGTAAGTAAATCCTCTTCTTTCACAGGACTGATGAAGTATCAATTCTTTAGTTTCATACGTGTTTTGTGTTAAATACTGTAGGCTTTTACACAATGTTTTTTTCCCCCCTTCTTACAGGCATGGATCTGATTAATTCTAATAATATATGAATTATATAAGCAATATATGGGTTGTTTATATTGCAATTAACCTCCCATTCTATCAACTGCAGGCACACCGACAGGAAAAATTGTAATCGAACCACCAGCAAAACTGTGTCGTTCGTCAGGATGATGATTCACCCCTAAGTGGTGCACCTTCTCATAACCTGACGGATGTGCCGTGAACATATAACAATATATCATACCTCCCAGAGTCCACTGGGAACTCTGCAGAGGATGCATATTAACCGTCTGAGTTCATGCTATGAAGGAGAGAGTAAAATGACCTAGTTTAACGGCCTTTAATTCACCTTCACAAGCAGTAAAGGGAAAAGGGGAGGGGGATTTGCTTGGAAGAATAGGGTCCACCTGCTCATAAGAATTAATGTAATTCAGTGGCGAAATTCAGTGAGCTCAGCATACTGTTGTGCAGTGTGATTCAAGACTCGCACAGCGCAATACATCATAAAGACACTCTAAAGCAGAAAGCCACACGTCCCACAAACATCCTGCAGCTGAGGTAAAGCGAATGTCTTTTACAGTGAGATCATCAGATTTTGATATTTGATGAAGTGCAGAAAAGAAAAATATGGAGAAGGTTTTTCATGGATGTAACCAAAAGGTTCAAGATTTGGGGTACCATATGTACAAGAAGTACAAGTATCAGCCATTGGAAAAACCCTTATCAACTGCTCGCTAATATGAAAATTGGTGAGGACGTGTTCCCCCTCAAACTCTATTTGGTTACGGCCCGATTTTTAAGAGTACAATGGACATGCACGGCTGGAAGGACAATTGAAAAGAAAAGGCAAATCACCAGAGAATATTAGTCACTTAATGAGATCAATTTAATGCGTTGGAGGTGAAAATGTTCAATATGAACTTTGATAGACCAAATTGCACAAGTGTGACTAATGATCACCATCAATATCGGCCAATTTAAAATGTCTGATGCCAACATGATCATGCCCTCTTGATATGTACCAAGTACTGACACTTTACATGATTTCACCCCCCCCCCAAGGATCCTGATCCTCCCAGTCTGTAGCTTCTTGAGACTTAGAAACTTGAGATGTTTCAAACAAATCAACCTCCACAAACAGCAACAAGTATAACCCGGCTTGTTTGGTCCTCTCGACTTGTGCAAGCCATGCAAAAACTGCAGCATTTTGGCAGCCGCCCCACTAGGAAAGCGTAGGACGGTGGGCTCAGGAGTAAACAGCTAGAGAGAGGGACAAGGCAGGTATATTAGGGGGAATGATTGCAAGAGACTTACCAATCAGAAGTGTGACGACCAGACCGGCGTGGACTACATCGCCGGACCGCGCACACCTGTGCAAGAATGATCTTCTATCTTGCAACCCCATGTCAGTCCGTCTGCCCACTTGTGCCTGTCTGTCTGTCCCTGGTCAAGTCCTCCGCTGTACGTCTTGGGTGGGATACTGTAGGTCTGAGGGGCCACAGGGGACCCGGCAAAAAATCAAAACAGAAAGACAAGACTTTCAGTTGTGGAAGTCTTGCAGAGTATCTCCCTGCCCTTGATCCTCCTGTGCGGTTTGTCCCGGTAAGGGAGAGAGAGGGAACTAGAGAGCAAGGAATACTGAGGCAGCACCTGATCCGTTGCTTGATCTTCAGATCAGTGGCTCTCAGTTGCCGGCAGTGTCTCGCTGATACTCTTTCTCATTCACCGTGGTTGTAGACGCAGGAAACGCTGCGTTCATTCAGCAGCAGCTGCAGTGCAGAGCTCCACTTTCAGTCTGGGGAAGAGACTGTCTGTCTTACCCCTGAATAGGTGCCGCATGCTGGGATGAGTGGCCAGAGGAGGGGTGGAGGGGGGGGGCGGTGTGTCTGTAGACGATGCAGGAAAGAATGAGCCACTGCAGAGGCATGGGACGAGTGAGAGGGAGAGAGAGAAAGACGGAGAGAAATAAGGGAGGGCGGGAGAGTGTATGAGGTGGGGATGGGTGTGTGATGGGGGGGGGATGTTGTCTTTTAGACTAATCACATCAGTGGAGATCATAAAACCTTGAGTGTGTCCGTTTATAGCCTGTGCCTGTGAGCATAGGATTGTTTCTTTCTGCCCATATCTGTTTCAGTATCGGTGTACGATTGTATGATTTCTTCAGTTCGGTCTGTTCTGTTCTCATTATTTTACATTTACTGCTGCCTTCTGTGTTTTGGCTTCCCTACTTTTTCTTTCTAAGTTATCCCCACAAAAATATTTTATTGCTCAAAAGTTGCTCTTTCACATCTCAGGAGCAAGGTCAGAAATTAAACATGACGCACGGCAAAAACTGCACTTACAGTGGCAAAAACGTCCCAGATATTTAAAATGTGGGGTCCCTGTAATAAATTCCCGTTGATTTAACTGTTATATATCATTTTATATATTTCAGTTTTCATTTTCAAGTTGTGTTTTAAGTCTTCTTGTAGGTAAAGTACAGGGGTCTCATATTTTCCAACAAATACAAGTCACAAAAAATATAAGTGATTTAAAAAACAATTATGTGACTTAAATCACAGTCAGCCTTTGTAATTATGAATTATTTACAATTTAAGAAATGTCTAGATTTTTTTTAAAGAAAGGAAAGAAAGACAAAAATACTGGTTAAAATATTTTGCACTGTAAATATATTAAGACTAAAATACAGTGTACTTTATTATTATTATTATTATTATTATTATTATTTTTGTGAATAAAACATTTTATTCTAATTGTATTAACACTGTATTTAAATCATAATATAAAAATTAAATAATTTGATTTTCAAAATAATAAATAAATAAATAAATAAATAAATAAATTAATTAATTAATTAATTAATTAATTAATTAATTAATTAATTAATACAATTAGAAACGGAATACCCTTGAACATAGGGCATGCAGACAAGATCTATTCCTGAGATTGCTTCTTACTCCCTATTTAGTGCACTATGTGACATTCATTACACAGGGAATAGTGATTGATTGGACAAGTGTGCAATTTGGGCCAGCAACGGTGTCACTGTGGGTGGGGGGTGTCCAGGGGGAAAATATTGTCCCTTTAATAAAGAGGTTAATTTCTGACAATTCTCAGGAGTGTTTGCCTCCAATGTTGCTCCTAGAATTCCATCAGTGAAATTAAAATAGACTCAAAATGTCATGATAAAGTAATAATAACGAGCTAGCAAATTAACAGCGATAACATAACCCAGATAATATTTGGCATCTTGGCAAATCTGAGTATAGTTTGAGACATTCTTGAGACCTCCTTTGAAACTCTGAAGGAGACACATGCAATCCCCCCCCATGAAGAAACATTTGAGAAGACCTCTGAGACGCAGGACACAAGCAAAAGTCTTAATTTAATCTCATTGCTATCTAGGAAAAATAATTATATAAAAAAAGTCACCCACCCACCATCCTATGAATATATACCTCTTTCTGTCTGTTTCTCTATTTGGAGCTTTGCCAGGCCTTGAGTAAAACCAACCACAAACCAGCCTGCATGACTGCATCAATGATTAAGGTTCCAGGAAGAGAAGCTGGATCAAACACCACCTAGCTTGCCTGAAATACTAAATATGCATGATAAATGAAGTAATGGACACTTGTGAGTCCTGTAGTAACCCAGCTGAGCTCATTCAGGATATCAAATATATTATGTGCATAATTTATGATGCCATTTTATTTTCTGTAGTAATGCATCCAGACGGTTTTGTTTTCCATAGTGGCCATTTTAGGTTTGTAAACAAATGACTGGCTGTTTGCTCAAACCTTCCCTCTCTCTATGACACTATTTATATCCTGGCCCCCATGATATTACTTAGATTCAACACAAAATGTAATTTATGAATATGATTTAATAACTATTTATTAAAGAATATCATTAAATACCATAAATATAAAAACAGTATTAAAATAAAATAAAATAATAATAATCATAAAAAATATCTATTTATTTATTTATTTATTACTAGCACTAGATTTATCTATTAGGTCAATATAGCTATTGTTTATTTTAGCTCAATAATGATTGCATTTCCCTATTAAATGTATATCCCTTTTTTATCAAGCATACCGCAAGCTCCATACTTTAGATATATTACAAGCCCAAGAAAATGTCGAGTTAAGCATTCTGTAGCCTCAGCTTCAGACAACACATGCTCACAGACTGCAGTCTTTCCATTGACCGTCCCATGCACACAGTACACAAACATGGCAAAAACTGGCGGAAAACTCTTGCTCTGATTGGCTGAATGCAACGTAAAAATGAATGTGCCCACGCACATTATGTTATAAAAGTACTAAAATGTTTGTAATTTTGATGGTATCAAATCTTTGAAAGATACAAATGCTTGAGGCGCTAGGTATCAAGAATTCTAGATATTTATGAGCAAAACTGTATATTGCTCATTGTTTTGAGTTAGATCTGTAAAATATAGGCACTTATTCCATTACATAATTTTTTATAAAATTTCAGTTTCTATTTAGCCATTGTTAAAGGTTGCATAAAACATAATGACCTGTGGTTGGTAGCTTTACTTGTCATTCAGAAGTCTTCCTATTGTAGTTGGTGGTTCTTGTCCAGAACTTCCTCTGCAAAGTGGAACAGACTTCATTCTGCTAAAAAGCCTGGCTCTGTGAGTCTAAGAAATCTGAAACGCGCAATCCCATGGATTATTTGATTATTTGTGTCTCATCTCCCCAGAATTGTAACAATTGGATTGAACAGCATATGAGCCAGCAGTGCAGCTGTTAAAGGGAAAGCTTAATACATGGGGAAGTGGTCTGGGACCCTTGTGGTCAGGGTTTTATAGACTATGATACTTGGCTAGTCAATCACTTTGGCCATTCAAGACATATGTGGCTTATCTAGACAACAACATAACAGTCATGACTCACCTGTCAAATTAATATGGCATACTATAGCCAAAAATGATAGGCTATCCTAGAATTTCTCTCTTACCACTGCATATTTCACATACTGCTTTTCTCACACTATATAGTAGGTAAGTGTACATATATAGGGTTGGTTTATTTTATTGTCTGGAAAAAGTAAGTATATGTTTTGTTTCTGATGACTGTGATTAAATTGTTAGGCCTGATCGTGGGGAACATTTGCTGATGAACAGCACCCGTCGTGATGCAGATGTGATACCAAAAAGAGATAGCAGCTGTTTCACAGACATATGATCCAAACAGAGACACACACACACACACACACACACACACACAGATATCTGACTGACAGAATGTCATCCTGTGTGGGCCGTTGTGATTTATAGGATAGCACTCGACATCAACCCCCTGTGGTCACACACTTGTACACTCACAATCAGGACAATGTGACCTTGGGAGTCCATATAACAGCATATGTGTGTGTGCTTCTGCAAGGGTGGCGTGTGAGAGAGAGAGAGAGAGAGAGAGAGAGAGAGAGAGAGAGCAATTCCCATAATGCAATCTACTGCATAGAACCAGTAAGAACGAAAGAGAAAGAGAGGAGGAGAAGAGAGATGGAGGGTGGAGATGAAGAATGGAGGAAGGCATTAACAAGGAGCAAGAAACACAATCACTGGCTTTGGATTGAGATTGACCACGTAATAGTGAAGCAAAATAGAAGAATATTTCATTAACATGACCTTGATATGGATGGATTTCATCTGGAAGTCACACACGTGACGCCATGCATCAAATTAATTATATGCAAGTACTGGAACGCATGAAATGTTGTCAAATGAAAAACAAACAGTAATTGCGTAGATGCTGGACTCCCCTGGACTGCGCCAGTGAGGGGAGCATGATGTTGCAAAACTTAGCCAGAAGGGAAAGGCAGAGAGGAATGGAGGGGAGGGGTGGAGGAAGAGGAGGAGAGGTGTAGAGGACAGCAGGAGGAGGGAGAAAGCGAGCCGGAGAGGTAGAGAGTGAGAGTCTCTGCATTTCAAGTGCTTAACAGTGACCTTAGAATCTCCCTCTATGTGTTTCACTCTCTGGCTCTCTCTCACTCTGCATTAAAGTACAATGCTGCAGTTCTTCAGAGATGTATCGTCCCGGGAACAACTACAAGAGTGTCTGCAGGAGGATGCAGCCCTCCCTACATCTGTTTCTCTCTTCTTCCCTCTTTTTCTACAACTTTCTGATGTGTGGACGGTGAACAGTGACACTGAGGCCTGAGAGCGGAGGAGAAGTGGGCAGGACGGGCTTCACAGGACGGGTTTGCCCTTTAAAAAGAGTGAAGACTATTCTTTCGTAACTGGGTAAGTAAAGCAGTAATTTTATCATGCTATAATTTGAATGTATGCATCTGAATCTCTTTAAACTCACTCCACTTACATATTGTCTGTGTAAATTTATTTCAGTCTATTTTACCATATTATGTATCCTTAAGGAACAACTTGTACCTGATCTGACACTTAAAAATTACTTTCTGCATTTACGTTTTACTTCTTGGTTGTCCGGTTGATTCAGTGATGTTACATTAAATCAGCTAATTTACATTACCACATGAAGCATATTATTATTATTTATGTGTAGAAAATGCTGAAGAGAAGAGGCACTTAACAATTAATTACACTTACAAGATTTAACTCGTACAACTCGTACAATTCATGGGGAAATTTGGCAATACAAAAAAGCTTGCCAGCATGATCGATGAAAAAAAAACACCATTTGAGGATTGTCTACACTGAAATAAATGGTTTTATTCAAGTCCAAAATATTATTTAACATCACTACATCAAGTTCAGGGTTGAATCAAATAAAAATTGCTCTTAAAGGTAACAATTGCAGGTTACCACTTGCAATGTGTGCTGTACTTAAACTTAAGCAAATATTATGTTTTACGCCTTCGTTTGTTTATTTATTGAATAGCACATTTTTCAAGTATTTGTACAGTAAATATC